TATTCAAAACGAAATCAAGGCAGAAAGTATATCGAAGGCAAAAAAACACTTTGGTGATGAAATTCTCCAACTGTAACGCCACCATCAGTCCATAAAACGCACTTCGGATAAAACTACGAAGCACAGAACTTCTAATGCTTTTTCGACTTAAGTCACTGCAGTCATAGAAGATAAGTTGTATATTTCCATCTAGAAGGCATGAATTAACAAAATGAACATAAAGCGAAAAGTAAAAGACCATTTTCAGAGATTACAATTTTTAAAAAAGAAATCACAATTACCTAATGGTAATTCTTTAGCTAATGGTGCAGAAAGACGAAGTAAATAGCAGGTGGGGCAGAAGTACAGCAGTTGTTTATAGATGGTAAAAAATTTCAATGCTATGGTTGGGACACATTCGACAAATTTAACAGATGGAAGTACCATCTACAGCCTTATACAGGAATTATTCAACTTCAAAGAAATGCTTATTTTATTCAAGAAAAGGAAAACACAATATTAAGGGAAATTTTGATTGGATTGAGGAACTCGTAACAGCGAGTCCAAAAGATGACCACCACATGTAATACCGGCATGATGCATCATACAACCATAATTTTTAAAATCATGTCAGTCTGCTATTTGACCCATTAAGAGAATTCTTGACTCAAAAAACCAAACCTAAGAGATGTTTTCGCGTCTGTAATTTCGGAAGAAATGCTCACTTTTAAAGTAACGTTTTACAAGTACCTGTACCTCATAACTGATTTCCTTACAAAATGACAAGTTTTCCTTACTTCAGCTTTGCATTTATATATTATTTTTTATCTATATTTCATACAGTCAATGACTTAAAGTAGTAAGGATTAGTATTATAAAACAACAGTTAGTAGAAACGTAAAAAGGCCAACATAAGAATACTAGAAAATACAGCGGCAAATGATATCGGAAACAATGTGAAAAAAATAGTGCCTCCAAATAAATCGTTCCGAGTCGTACGTTTGGAGTCAGAAGGCGAAGTGAAATATCAGTACTGGTCAATCATGTGACTGACCAAGTTGCTTGACAAATATTAAATCAATGTTAGCTATGATTATAAAACACCTTTAGGTTTACAAATAAAACTTAATTTTTACGGCGCCTAAAAATACCCATTTTCGGTTAACACCATGACACAATGAAACCTTGGCCTACTTAATAGAGAAGAACTCTAGGTACAAGGGAGCAATGCAATTCCGTAATGTAAACCAGAATAACTTGTTCAACATTGATGAAAACGTGATGAAAGTGATAAAATCTCTCATAAAATCAGAGAAATATGGAAAGTGGATGACCGTTGGTTACAATTCAAGTAAAACGAGAAGCTAAAAAGCATGCTACGAGAAATTAAAGTAACGTGCTCTTCAAATGTAGCAATGTAGGAAATAGCGCACATTTTGCCGTACTAAACAAGATTCTGTACTAATAAAGTTTACTGTAAACTGACGCTCCTAGATTCCAGTCAGTTGCTGTGAGATTATTAACAGGGTAGCTTGCTCCATAATTTTTAAAAAAATTGATTTATCGTTGGAAATACATTTGTGATCAGGTCGATAAACAGACAAATAGAGGTTCTTGGTAGTCCAACTTAGGAAACCTGTGCTCGCTTGCTACAGTGATGTCCGCTATTTTGTAATCTCTGTAAAGAAGGAAGATATAAGGCAAAAAATGAAGACTTTCTGGCAGAGAAACTTGAACAACTTACCAAATAATGAATAATGGTCTACCTAAAATTAAAATGCTCGTCGACCAAGTCGGTCTGCTAATCGCTCATGCACTATATAGATATTTTTAAACACTTGGTGAATAAGTTTGCAAAGACAAGGAACATGTTAGAAGCGATAATTTTTATCAGAGTTTTCTATGATATACGAATATATTTCAGCCATGAAACATCTAAAAATTGCTGGTGGAATCTATAGTGCTTTATGGAGCAAAATTTTTAAACCGTGATACTCCCTAGATAGCAGTGCTAAGTTAATTTATCTGTAGATATATCTGACTTTGTCTTGCTAACGATTTTGGCACCACTCAAAACGTTACAGCCAAATTCAATAAAGGTTACGTGCGAACAGGCCATACGATCTAAAGTTACATATGAAATTTTCTTACAACTTCAAAATTACATATTATACATTAATTATAATACCGAGAAATTTTCCGGCACAAAAGGCTTGATTCCTAAGATAGTACAGAAGAAGAAGTATTCGCCATCGGCCGAGAATCTGATATTTGCAGGTATTCGATAGCCATGGCCCTCCTCTTAAAACACGGTTGTACGTGATAAACAAAAACAAGATTCGGTACTTTCGAAAATCGTTAAAGAACATGGTACTTTATTCTTCTTGAGAGATTCAAAAAACTTTATGATCTGTCCCGGAGGTACAACCTTTGAAAAGAAGAGCATTTATGTAAACAAATAATAGACAGTGAAGTTTACTTTGTCGTCAGCGCCGTGAAAAAACGCCACTGGTGTTTTCATTTCGTTGATGTAGGAACATGGAGATCTTATGCTGTAGGTCTTACCGGAATCTTCAAAAGGACCAATCAGAAGATCATTATAACCTGATTCAAATTTATGCGTCTCTTCTTGTAACGCAATCAAGTCGCATATTCCAAAGTGACAAGCTCCTAAAGATCGTTAGTAACGCATAAACAATTACACACTCGGCAAGTTTATATAAAATACTTGAAAATGCTAAACCAGATCGCTCATTCATCTAAATCAGACCGTCAACTAGGTTAGGTGAGAAAATTTCCATAATAATTTCACTGTCATTTGGAAAGGAAGAAGAGTGCCTTACCGCTGGGAAGACAGAACCTTTTACAATTACATAAGGGATGATATTCGTGGCATGCTTCTTTCATTAGGTATAAAAGTGGTACTAATTTTGCTATATTGATATCAGCTAAAAGCTAGGGGTTTAAGGGAGCAATCTTAGTAAAAAAGATCATTATAAAGCACAGTCTTCTGTTTCATCCCCAAAAGGGGGTGCTTATCTATCCATCCACCTCGACATGATAAAAGGCAAGTGACTCGATAAGGATTCTAATCTCTAACCTTCGACAGCTGATTAAACACTCCACCGACTGAGTTACACTGATTCCTCAATGGAACCATGCACCTCATCAGCTAGGCTAGAAAAAAAGCAGGGCTGATTGTAAAGAAGCGTGAAAGCAAAAAACCTACCGGCATGAAAAACCTTATTAGTCACCAGTGCGCAAAGCACGACATAACCACCTGAAGAGCGGCCTGTAATGCACAACTTTTCCGGGTTCACCAAATGAAGTTCGACCAGTGACAACGCGGCACTACAGCAATCCAGGTAGTCGTAAACGCCGTAACTGAAACAAAAAAAAAACAATTTGAGCTTGAGACACGCTTTACAGCTTTGGGTTACAAAAATACTTCTTCTTCAACGCATCCCGAAACGCCTTTCCGTAACCCGTGGAGCCACGATAATCAACGGTAGCCACGGCGAAACCACGCGAGGTGTAATACTGCACCTTCAGATTCAAACAATTGCAAGTGCGCGACGTTGGACCAGAATGCGGCATCACCACCAAAGGCGGCAACGTTCCAGCCTCACCTTCGTAAAGGGGATTCTAAACGGCACATAAACGAAACGCTTATAAATGCGTTATATACTTACTAAAGGAGCGTAGAAATTTACGTACACCTTTTCTGTCGGTAGCACACCCGTTGAAAATGTTAAAGCTTTGGGAACACTGATCAAAGAGGAGTCAAGAGCCGGGCGTGATTCACGAATAATCTCGACCTTGAAAAAGAAAAACCTCAAAATTAGCAACGAGAAAAATATGGCATACAGTATCATGTGACTGTTTGGCATATATAAGTGAACACATACTTCACCGCGTATCAATAGACGAAAAACTAATCAAATAGTAAAACGAGACGAACTTATGCAGAACAGTGGCGCAACGCTAGTTCACCAGCTTGACGTGCTAAGCGTTCGAGGTCTGATTACGGTTCAACAGGAAAACTTTCCAATTTTGTTGAACAAAGAAAATCTGCGCTGATTTTCTCCACAACTACCGGTAGAAAACATTAGGCAACAGAATCATTAGCAGCGAAACATTATTTCAGCATAATTTCGGGTTATAGTAACGCCGTGAGAGAAAAAACAAAACAACGCTGTTCAGTGCTTTTTACTATTGGCTGGATAAAAGGTTAGTGCCAACAATGACATTCTCAGATATTCCTGAAAATGTGCATGGATAGGTTTCGGCATACAAAGAACGCCGGTTTTATTCAGGGTCTAGCAACCACAAAATGGACGGGAGCAGAAATATAAGGCAAAAACAACTGTTTTATGAATAACTTCTAATGGGACCTACAGATGGTGGTTCCATTCAATCGATCAATAAACATAGTGGCATAAACATATTTAAAGCACAGAACCGGTTTCGGCGCCATGCTCTGCTCATATTATAGTCAAATGTCCAATTTACTTTATGGGTGTTTAAAGTTGATTTATCAAAATTTCATCTAAACATTCACCCATCATCTGATAGTCAGTACAACATCAGAGCGCCTACTAACCGAAAAACTGTTGTCCTAACCAAAAAATATCTTACATTTGCAACTGAGAAAAACAACAATTGACGGATTCTTTTTCGTAATGAGGATTACCACTGCTCGATATCTATATTCGACTATTCAGCGCGATTTCTAGTTACAGGCTGTAATCTCTTTGCTCATCGTTCCATCTGTGCCAAGGACTTCCAACGGGAAAACTGTAAACAACTTTTTGGCTACCAATCCGTCACTGCTGGTGTCCATCGGTCATCATCAGTCGTGCAATGTAATCCGCACTAATCCTACTAAAGGTGCACATAGGGGACTGGAGGTCATTTCTGCTTGTGCCTTACGTTTCATTCGTTCTTGGCTACTGTCCACTCGGTAATAACGATCTTAGAGATAACGTTTGTTTGCCCTTCACCACGGCAAAATTGGGTTCCAGGTGAAGGCTCTCTAAGGCTTAACCAGTTTTTTCTGTGAGTATCGAATGTGCATGAATATCAGCGTCACTGTTAAGCATTAATTTCTTGTTACTTCCCTTTACAAACGATAAAAACCAGGAAGCGTAATCAAGACTTGTAAAGAATTTGCTTAACCATGGCTGATAGTACAAAACGAAACTTTTAATGTTGAGAGCTTCGCTTTACGAGTAACACCATTGGAATTGAAAACTTCAGATCTCATTTCTAATCAGAAATTTCGTGAAGAAAAAAGTGAAGAGCATTTGAATCATTTTTCTACGGGTTTGGCACCAGATTACCAAATAGTCTTCAAGACGTGTCAATTCTAAGCAACGTGAGAAATCACGACTTAGCAGCATTTAGAAAAATTCCAGATTCTAACAGATATCTGCACCCAGTTCCTTGCAATCTACCCGTTCATATAATGACAGTGTAAACAGCACCGGACTCATACATACAAAAAATAAACATATACGCCTGATTTTGTAGAAATGCATCCAGCAAATGTTTGGCGATCTCCTAATAAAAACGATGCTGTAATCATCCTACATACTTTCAAATTCTCAAATAAGACAAAAATGTAGAGAAAAGTTTTCGAATCACTTGCAAATGTGCGGTCACTGATGTACCAGGGGCTCAGAAAATGAAAACAAAGCCAAACACTCTGACTATTGATCCATTCACATTAGAAAAACGAAAATAAAGATAGGCGTATCGGAAAACATGTCTCTGCGCTAAGAAATGAAAAGTAGATCACTCTGGAACAGCGTAATATGTTAATTGCTAGGGACATTCGCTCAGCCAGTCAACTGCACCACAATGAACATAAAGCGATAAAGGCATGGGATACTTATCAGGCACACGCTGCACGTATCAGAAAATAAAAACCAACTATGCAATGAAGTATTACCTCTGATTCAAAAACAATTGGAATGTCATCATTTGATTTATTCAGAAAGTGAAAAACAACAATCGACCTTATCATTCGAAAATTTGGTTTTGTTACTAAACTTCACAACTTCTCGTGTGCTACTGTATCGTGGTGACGACGCTAGTGTATCGCCGAAATATGTTTAAGATTAAAAATTAAAAATATTTTAACATTTTAACATCTTCCATATTTATTTGTTTGCCTTAACCATGAATTAAAAAGTTGTGGGGAAACGTTATTTTCAGATGTAAAAATTGACGTGGCTTATATGCATTGCAAGTAGATATGCGGACGACAAATGCAAGTCGAACAATCGATTCTTTTTCAAGTTCAAACTATGCTCTTTTGTAAATAATGATAATCGACGACCTAAAGGTTCGGCGTAATACTGAAATGGATTTAACCAATACCTAACGACGGCTTGCGAAAAAACACCAAAAGTCTTTGCGGAAGTAGCACAAGAGAGGACTTGATGAAAGAACCCATAAGCTAACTAACACAGTTTGCATGGAAAAAAGTAAAACCAACAAAGAAAAGATCCGGATCACTACATGTTTAGGTTATCAGTCATAGTTTACCTAATTTTATTGCTAGGAAAATGGAGAACGTAGTCCGCAGTATTTTGTCTGGTTATTAGATCCCGTAAGTCATCCTCTCTTCTTCTGGCTAGAAGGTCAGACGTCTGATGATTCACACCAAAAGTTAGATGAGTAAAGTTGGAACATTAATTTAAACAACCAGATCGACATGCATAATATTCAGCGTTAGCTGTAGCTTCAAAAATTAATATGAAACGTACCGTCTGACCGACAACGTCCCATCGGATAATCGCTGGAAAACGCAGCGCATCTGATGCCAGACAGTAGATCGATTTATTCAAGCCAAAACAGATGTATTGGTGATGTGAATATGTCGTTGGTTGCAGTTCGCAGGTCTTCCTTTCAGAATCGATTATATACAAATGCTGAAAAATGATGCATTATATCGAAACTCATAAGCCAAAATACCGATGTAATATTTAAATATTTCAAACGTAAATCGCATCGTATATGCCATTATGCAATCTAAACCTAAAATAGCGCATAACCCCCAAACCGATTTTCATGACATTATGACAACGTCCTGTGGCTTCTACATGTCTGGAGTAATTCAAGCAAATTACGGCTCCGCGGAATTTGCGCACACCTGTACTGCAAATAAGCATCTAGCATCAGTAACTAAATCATTAGCTGCTTATCCATACAGTAGCCATAACATCTGGTTAGATGTTCGTGTTGTTTAAATCTTTGCATTTCTCAAGGAATAGTGCTACACAATAAACCGTTGTACAAATTACTTACGTTTAGACATAAGCTTAAACCCAAGGGTCAATAAGAACCAAGTTTGACCCGCAACAAGTAATCTATATAATAAAACGATTTTATGGAGTTATCCCGAAAAACAAGAAGATTATCGATTTAAAATACTCTGAAAAATTATCAATAATTTTAAAAGTACTACCTAGATCAACGTTATTCATAATTTCTAATCTTAATTAATGGCATTTTTCTTTAATTAGAATGCGATTAACAGCAAGTATTCCTTTGTGCTTGGAGTTCATCGCCGCCTGTATCATTCATGCCACTACATCACCTACCGGGTGTACACGGTTACGACGTCTTCGCGCTTACTATTAACTTACACTGATTTCTGCCCTGTCTAATGTTATGATTGCAAGCGAGACCTTAAGCCAAGCATAATTTGCAATTTCTAGAGAGATGCAGCCCAGCTTCATCACTGCCAGTTCTTCCCCATCCCTGAAAGTTTCTAGGTATGAATTTTTCGATCTACCTCTCAGTCTTTCCCTCGATGAGTTTAGCAAACAAAGAATTACAACATCAGCCACTAGTCGTAGTGCACGGCAAAAAACTGAAAATACATTTTTCTATTTCGTCAATACTTAATATTAATCTCTGTTCGACAATCTGTGCGGCATTCATAAAAAGTTTAACGTCGTGACCTTGTCTAGTCAGAGTTCCAATATTCCGCACAAACAGAACGGTTGGCCACACATCCAGCTAGTTACTTTCCTGCTGATGAAGGTCGATGTATGCTGTGGCATACACCAGTACCGATCGACTAGTTGGCAAATACAGTAGGAATTTTTCTGATGTACCGGCGGTGGGTTTCCAGTGATCTAGCTGCAGCATGTTGTAATCAGCACGCTCTTCACATGACTTTTTCGAACGTCTGCTTTACAGTTTCCTCGCTGATGCTCACGGATTCAAGACAGAACTTGCGCCACTGAACATTTTTATTATGTTATTGTCTTAGTCATGTTATTGACATCTCCACAGCATGCCGTGAAAGAAGGACTTGCATTTTGATAAAAATCAATGACTACTGAAGTTTTCTAGCTCTGTGACAACGCCTGCAATGAAAAAGATCTGTATTTTGAACATCTTGCTAACATTTATGATTCAGACACGGCGGTACTTAATGAAAAGCTGACAATGGAATATTGATCGCAAATGAAAACTGAAGACCAGTTCATGAAAATGTGGCATTACCTGGTGTGAAATGCTATTGCAGGAGAGAAAATATGATGTGAAATCAAAGTGACTGATTCGGTGCAGAATACGCGCTTAAAATAGCAACTATTGTCAGTTAAAGGATGATAACTACCTTATCATGCGTATATTAAACACAAAGCCTGATGTTACGAGGTTGCCAAAAAAATCTCAACAAAGATGGTAAGGTTTTGCAACAACTGACAAGGTACTGAAGAATTAGCTAGAATTCATTAAGCCAAGGTAGAATACCTGTACGGCACCTAATGGAAAGATGGATTCTCGCACACCTAACAAAATTGCTACTTTGTGTGTCCTAATGAAAGAGAACTAAGTTTATACCTGAAACCCAATTTCGAAATAGTTTATGACTATGAACCTTATTTGTATTATATTTATTGAATTGAGAGAATTAATTTTTAAAAGATTTTTGTCTAAAGCGTTCTCGTGACCGGGTACCTGAAGTCATTGTAGTCTTTGACGGAGGGAACATCTCTGACACTGCAAACAACTTTTGTAGCCAATGCTGCTGCTCTAGCAAGAAAATGACTGATTCTTTTGGGAAGGAAGCTCTAATTCGTAGTCAATTAATTCTAAGGCATGCATACATAGACACATAGAGGACCAATCGATACATACATGTATACAAGAAACAATTAGAAAGCCAAGAGAAAAGAATCTTTAAAGTTACGGAAAAAGTACACTGATTTCTTACCTCATCGAAAACGGTAGCTATACTGAAAAACGGCAGACGAACACGAGGATCAAAAGAATAAGTATCTGCAGCAAAGTTCCACTGCGGGTAACCACCTTCCATGTCCATTTCGTACACGTTTTCCCAGTGACCTGCCCAAGTAAATGGAAGTCAAGCGTTTACAAAAACACAGTACATACCGGAACCAAAACACTGATATAAGTTCCAGAAGCCACCTCTATCTGAAATACAAAAGACGCTCTGTTCTAAGGAAAATTTTGGCTGCATAAAATTGACATCGTCGCCACCAGCGATCTAAGTAATGAGACGTGGAAATGCTAGAGATGTATATAGACAATTTAATTTACTTTACGAGAGGTACATGAGCAAATATTTGCATCAGAGTCCAAATCAGCCATCCAAATTTCAGTACTGTCCCAAGGCTACAAAACGCAATAAAAGCATGGTTAAAGCATGGTAAAACATGTTTAAACAAGTATCACGTTGTTAGTACTGCAGTTCTTTCGTCGGTCAGTCATAAAAATATATATATTGTACGCACATCGATGTATATGTACCAAATAACAAATAAACCATTAGTTAACTATTCCGAACTTTACAAAACAATTGTGGAAACTCATTTCTGTTTCGGTCATCATCTAAAAGAGAGTTGCTTCACACTTCACAGCTGAACCTCTGTTTCCCGTCGCATAAAGTACTAAATAAGCACTGGCAAACAGCTGGGATACCGATGATGCAATAAATCCATGAGTGTTTCAAAGATAACACAGCCAAAAATTTACAGTGCACATAATAACTGTAAATCAATGCGTCACGACCTGAAACAATTATTTGGATATTTAATCTGCCTTTAGCCGAGGTTCCCCGACTGCGCCAGCCGGTTTGTTTCTCGCGTAACCTAACATAAATAATTGAAATCCTTTCCTGAACATCCTTATTTCGTCAGTTTGTAGGAAAATTTTAATTTAACTTCACAAAGAATAAAAAAGCTAACAGAGAAGAAACATGAAGCTTTGATTAATGAAAAACTGCTCATTAACAATACGCCAGATTTGAAACAAACAGCTGTCAGGAAATATCTAAAGATCCATCAAGACTGATGACAAGAACAGTCCTATTAGTCGCTCAAAACGTACCACTGATCTAGAAACGACGAATCGGCAGTCGCTGGAAAAATTATTTTTGCAATACTTATATACTAAGAACTTCAGAGGAGAGATTCGCAAAGGCATATGGCAGTGGAGTGCAGCCGGAGGGTCGATCGTTTAGTTGGCCCAGTTCCGCATGCCTGGTACTGTGGCTCCTCTAGATCCAACCTGTAGAGTTTGCAGCATTCAGAGAAGACTGTAATCACAGGAAAAACATTGTGAGGCTATTTTTCTTGCAATCTGAAAGGAATAGCAAGCAGTAAAAACGAATGTGTGAGGCCAAGGGAAAACATGTTCGCCAAACGAAGCTGCGAAAAGATCACTTCACTGACACAGCTTGATAAAAACAAATAGTCAAAGAATCCTGCTCGATAATTTCAGGCAAAGTTGGTCCAAATGGCACAATGACAGTCAGAAGTTGGATAAGCCAATTTTGGGATCAAAAGTGAATGATACATTGTGTTTGTAATCTTGTGCAACAGCAATCAGTCTGATGTGGCAGTTAGGAATTAACCTAGCGAAAGACCTAATTATACAGTTACCCATATCATCTATGATGCTGAAGCGTGCTGAAGACCAGCGAGAAAGGTATATTTTTTACGCAATGCAAAAATATGAAAACAAGACACTGCCCGTATACCTACTGCCTAGTTGTATAAATATTATAGAGCTTTAGTTAAAATTATGGCCTCACTGCTTCATTTTAAAGAGCAAAGATATCATCACCCAATTAATCCTGATTTTCAGTCTAATGAGTTCTAAATGATCATCCCCTCCGGCGGATCAACGATCAGGCGCAGGTAGCAGAACAGGTTTCATTATGCGTGCTACTGACACAGTAGTAGTAACGGATCATAACTAACAGTTAGAGCAAGTACGGCATTTACCATATTAGGGAGATTCCATTGCATCCATACTATCAACTTCCCGTCTGGAGAAATTTTAGGGCTCGCATAAAAGTCCGCTGCAGTACTCTAAAGTACAATATAATATTAAACACAAATGTAAACACCATCATTCACTTGTTATATAAAATGCATGTAACACGCCCAAAGGCACCGGTCAGGGGAACAATTGCAGTTCTAGACTAGAAAACTATCAAAAAAACTACCTTACGTACTATTCAGAGATTTTCCGTGATGAATGCCGCTATCGATTTAGGATGATGATATGATAAAAAAAAATTGGCAACGCAGATATGCCTGAATGACGTGGTCTTGAAAAACCAGAGAGCAAATTTAGTGCTTTCCATATTTTTGCCAATATCAACCATCTGGAGCAGCTCTTGTATCCATTTAACTCGCAAGTCGTCTTCATCTATTCGAAAAATAGAGGGCATGACGAAAAAATGTCTATGCCTTTGGGGAATAATACAGATAACCGTTCCCACCCTTCTGCCCAATCTGATCTAAAGGCAGAAAGATGTTTGCCGAGCGACGATTACCAAGGCCTCTTAAACCGGTGGTTTCAAGGTTTATCACTG